TGGAATTTCTCTCACCTACTGGAAAAAAAAAAATCCGTTTAAAAGTGAATAAATTATTTGTCTTCCCTTTTCATTAAAGAAGAAAAGGCCAGGTGTGGTGGCTCACGCCTGTAATCCCAGCACTTTGGGAGGTCAAGGCAGACCAATCGCTTGAGGCCAGGAGTTTGAGACCAGCCTGGCCAACATGGTGAAATCCCATCTCTACCAAAAATACTAAAATTAACCGGGTGTGGTGGTGCATGCTTGTAGTCCCAGCTACTCAGAAGGCTGAGGCACGAGAATCGCTTGAACCCAGGAGGTGGATGTTGCAGTGAGCCAAGATCAGGCCACTGCACTCCAGCCTGGATGACAGAGTGAGACTCTGTCTCAAAAAAAAAAAAAAAAAGAAGAAGAAGAAGAAAAAGAAAAGAAGCAATAAACAAACAAACAAAATATAATGGTTGCTTTCTTCCATTGTCCTGAATAGAACTGAGGGTCAGAAAAACTTGGCAGAGACTGCATCCACGCCCCCTCGCTGTGGGCAACCTTTCATTCACTCTGAAGTAGGTGGTTTTCAAACTGCGCTCCTGAGAGTTCTGGGAGTTTCTTGAAGGAAAGAAAGCCAGAAGACTTCAGGCCTTTACCCCAGGCCTCTCAGCTAGGGCAGTAAACTTTTTGTTTAATTTGTTTACACTTCACAAAATGTCATTCAAACAAAGATTTTCCAGGCTCTAAGAAGTTTAAAAAACCCTTCTCTAAAGCCATTCACGGTCAGTTTTCAGTTTCTCAGCAACTGAAGTATTATGTTCCCTAATCCAAACTACTTTTATATCTTCCAAATCTAATGCCATAATCCAGTTTTAGTGCTCTAAAACTGTTCTACTTGACATGCTTGCATTTTATGTGGATATTGAGTAATTTATTCTGATAAATATTTTGAGGCACCGTAATTCATGCTCCCAGAGTAGTTACCGGCACGTGCTCCTGTCAATGGGAACTGTGTGCTTTTTGGGTTTAGCAGTTGCCCTCTTTTAAAGGGAAGAGTCAGAGGGGGAACAGACTGTGGACCCTTACAACCCAGTCCCTGCGTTGTTCTCCTTTAAATGGAGGCAACCATAAGAAGCCTGTGTCTCTGCTCACTTCCTTCTCCCCTAGCCTGCCTCCCCTTCATCCCCAATCCTCACAGAATCAACTCTACTCATCTTTCAGGCCTAAATTTCCCTTCCTTAGGGAAGCCTTTTCTGATCCTTGTCCCTGAAAAAATAGCTGATTTATCTATGTGTGTCACAAGCATAAATCTTTAATTGCATGTTACTGTCTTACTAAAACTTAAGGGCCGGCCAGGCACGGTGGCTAATGCCTGTAATCCCAGCACTTTGGGAGGCTGAGGTAGGTGGATCACCTGAGGTTGGGTGTTCGAGACCAGCCTGACCAACATGGAGAAACTCCGTCTCTTCTAAAAATACAAAATTAGCCAGGCATGGTGGCACATGCCTGTAATCCCAGCTAGGGAGGCTGAGGCAGGAGAATCACTTGAACCCGGGAGGCGGAGGTTGCTGTGAGTCGAGATCGTGCCATTGCACTCCAGCCTGGGCAACAAAAGCAAAACTCTGTCTCAAAAAAAAAAAAAAAATCTTACAGGTCTCAGAGGACAGAAATGTGTAGCTCTTGTTTTCCACCATATGCTACCACTTAGCATAGTGCCTGGTGCAAAGCAGAGGTTCAATTACTACTGGTTGAATGAATGAAGAATGAACAAAACGTTAATGCCTCCTTCATTTAAAATACTTTGGGTAATCAGTCAAGCCCCTCCCATGAATGAGTTGCCATTTATGCTGCACATGGCAGGGGATACAACCAGCTATTGGAAACTCCAGGAGCTAATTGCCTAGTTGGGAACATGACACACAAACACTGCAAAGATAATCAACTAATCAGTGGCACATTCAAGACAGGTTTCTTGGTTCCTAGTTTAATAAATGAAAAGTAAAGAAGCAATGGGTTGAATCTGCAGGTACTTTTGGATTCCAGAGAAAGGCAAGGAGGGAGGTTTGGAGCTGCTTTCTGATGGTAGCCAAAAAAGAAGGGAGCGAAATCACCATGGGGCAGGGACAGGGTCCTCATCATTGCAGACATGGGAGAAGTTTCTCCAGTCATTCAACAAATAGTACTCTCTGGTAGGCATCCTTCTAGGCCCTGGGATATAGGGGTGAACTGAAAGTAACATCTGTGCCCTCATGGATCTCATGTTCTAGTGGAGAAAGTGAATAAAAAGATATCAAGTGTCCATGTCAGGTAGTAATGAATGCTATGGAGAAAATGAAACAGGGTGGTAGAAAATAGAGGGGCGGCCCCATCTCTACAAAAAATAAAAGATTAACCAGGCGTGGTGGTGCATGCCTGTTGTCCCAGCAACTTGGGAGGCTGAGTTGGGAGGATCATTTGGGGGCAGAAGGATCACTTGAGCCTGGGAGATTGAGGTAGCAATGAGCCATGACTGTACCACTGCACTCCAGCCAGAGCAACAGAGCAAGATCCTGTTTCAAAAAAGAAAGAAAAAGAAAATGGTGATGGGAGTGCTGCTTCAGACTACATGATCAGGGAAGAGCTCGACCCAAATAACAAGAAGACACCAGCCAACATGGCCCAAGGCCTGAGACGTGAAAGAAGTTAGCATATTGGAGAAGCAGGGAAAAGGCCAGTGTGGCTGAAGATACACTCACAGAGAGGAGTGGCGCTTGCTCCCATGAGGCCTTTGTTGCCACAAAGGTGTGTGGGTTTACTCGGTGCACTGGGAGGCCCTTCGAGGGTCATAGGTTCAGAAATGCCAGATTTAAGTAGAAGAAGGACATGAGAAGAATAATTTGACTGGAGCAGGAGATTTTTTTTTTTTTTTTTTTTTTTTTTTTTTTTTGAGACAGAGATTCCACTATTTTTGCCCAGGCTGGAGTGCAGTGCTGCGATCTCAGTTCACCACAACCTCCGCCTCCTGGGTTCAAGCGATTCTCCTGGGTTCAGCCTCCCGAGTAGCTGGGATTACAGGCATGTGCCACCACACCCGACTAATTTTTCTATTTTTAGTAGAGACAGAGTTTCTCCACGTTGGTCAGGCTGGTCTTAAACTCCCAACCTCAGGTGATCCGCCCATCTCAGCCTCCCAAAGTGCTGGAATTACAAGCATGAGTCACTGTGCCTAGCTGAGATTTTTTTTTTTTTTTTTTAAGAGCAAGGGAGTCAGAGGCCAGAGACAGGGACAGGTTGTGGAAGGCTTGGCACACTGGGCTAAAGAGTTTAAACCTATGTTCCAAGCAGAGAGCTATTTGGGGGTTTTGAATAGAAGTAACATGATCAAAAAGGTCCTGATAGCACCAGGAGCGACATGATCAAAGTGTGACCTGAAGGTCCTTCCTAATTCACAGCATGATCTCTAACTTCTCTCACAGGACTGCTGCAGATGTATTTGACAACTGTTTAATACATGTAAAACACCCATATACATACTCAAACCAACACACAGGCATGTGTGTAAACACTCGTCTCCACGGGTGCATGAAAACTGGAATGCCTGAGAACCTGGGCATTAGAATTGTCAAGAAATTTGGAAGCTGCCAACTCCATTTGTTGAGGAGTAGCTCTAGGAAGGATTCTGAAGCCACATAGGGACCAGGGGAATGACAGGACCTTCCTCAATTAGCCAGATCAAGAGGATGCCAGGTGTTGGCCATTCTGGCCTGACAGATACACTGCCACACAGTGAATGCTCATCTGAAGACCAAGGATTGACTCTAATGATGGTGCCAGGGCTCCAAGAACTGGTCAAGGAAGTGTTGGGGAACAGAGTGGTCTTGCCAGCTCTCCTGAAGCCAGGCACATAAGCAGCTACTTGCTTCACCCATACATGAGGCCAAGTGCTAGGCATTACTTCAGCTGAAAGAATAAGAACAGCTTGATTTTATCTACAGATAGCTAATTGGAGATGTTCATAAAGAACAAACATGATTTTTTTTTTGAGACAGGGTCTCGCTCTTTCACCCAGGCTGAAGTACAGTGGCGTGTTCACAGCTCACTGCAGCCTCAACCTCCCAAGCTCGAGTCATCCTCCTGCCTCAGCCTCCCAAGTGGTTGGGACTACAGGTATGTGCCACCATACCTGGCTAATTTTTGTATATTTTAGTAGAGACAGGTTTTTGCCATGTTGCCTAGGGTGGTCTCAAGTCCATTGGATCAAGTAATCCTCCCAAAGTGCTGGGATTACAGGTGTGAGCCACACCACACCTGGCTGGGTTTTCTTTTTTTTTAAATCAAGGATTCTGTCTATACATCTTACAGGTGTTACAAGTCCAATATCTCAGTTTTAGTTCCTGCTTTGCCACTTACTCTGAGTGACTCCAAGCTACCAATCTCACTTCCCTGGGCCTCAGTTTACTTATCTGTACAGTGGTTGCCTTAACTACATCGCTATGTTGCAGTGGAACAATTCTGTGGGTGGGGAGGAAGTAGGAAGGCACCCCACAACTCCACTTCAGCTATGGCACAGACTGGATTTGATCATACGATCTCCTATGAGGAGACATTTCTGCACCTAAAATTAGAAGGAAAAAAAAAGTTGGGGAAAGTGGGAGGTCTCAGAAAGCCCACCTCTGTCCTAGAAAAAAGTGAAATCCATCCAGGGTCTGTTCCCAGGGCTGAGGCAGTGTGCAGAGCAGGTTTAAGCTTAGATTGTTGTTTATGGTTTTCATGCTGATGCCCTCAAACTTCAGAAAAAGCAAGAAGAGGTGTGGGCTGTGTACTGAGTCAGCTTCAAAGTCAGGATTGGCGGGAGGCAGAGTGAGGCTCCAATTAAGAGGCTGGACTAGACAGGGGCCCTAGACTTAAGCTGTGAAACAAGGAAGTCTCCACCTCTTGTGCTCCTGAGGCTCCAGGTCACCTGCTTCTACACAAATCCTTACCACTCAATTCTGTGGCTGGGGCAAACTGCATTCCCACCGTGTCTTGTAAAGCAGAACCTGTTTATAGGTGCAATGCGTTGCGCATCACGATCAGACGAGCTGGTTTTCTTCGTGAACGGGAGGAAGGTAAGTGATGGGCACTCCTACCATGGTGTGCAGAGGCAGCAGGAAACCACGAGCTGGAGGGCAGCTCTTGTGGCCCATTTGGGCTGAGCCCCTGCAGTCAGGGGCAAGAAGCCAGGGACTAGAAAGCCATCCTAATGTGACCTGTTTCCCACTCAGCCAGAGCTCAGCTCCTGGAAATGTGGGGAGGACTCAGTAAAGCCTTGGTGTCGGATGAATCTGGCTTCGCCATTTACTATATAACGTTGTGCACGCCACTTCCCCTCCCTGAGTCTTGGCATCCTCATCTTTGAAATCCACTTCTAGGACTATCGTAAAGATGAAAAGAAAGCTGTCCCTTTCCTTGTTTAGGAAGCCCCCCTTGGAAAGCGCCTGGTGCCAGGCCTGATTCATGGACACACTTTATCTGGTGACACGTCTTGATCCTCAGAATTAGGAGGACAAGAAATGGGACCTTTTTTTTGTTTGTTTATCAGCTTAATTTTTCTGTTGAGTCCTCATTGTACAGAATTGGCTAAAATGTTCTCACAGTCAATTGGAGTCCCCTGCTTTCCCTGGGTTGTAGCTAAGCTCCATTTTGGTGCCTGTATAACAAGGGCAGGGACTCTCCATTGCCAGTTGTCCCAGCATCCTCCCTCCAGTCCTCACCATCCAGCCACGCAGGCCCCTAGTGAACCCTAGTGCCCTCTGCAGATCCTTCGCTTCCTGAGTCCCTGTCTGTCTCTCAAATGAACCATTCTGCAGCCCCCAAGGCATAGGGCTTTTCTGGGGTCTTGTCACTTCTCCCTCAAGGACCCTCAGCCCCAGGACTTGGTCATTGTCTACCCCCAACCCCAGAGCTTAGTTCAAGAAAGGAGCCTTAAAGTTCTTATCAATGCCCTTCTGACCCACACTGCTGTATGCAGACTCCGTAACCAGCAACCGCCATATGTTCTTCCAAAACTGTCATTCGAGGGTCTGAGTCCTTACTTGCCTGACCCACTGGCCTAGGTTTTGGAGACTCAAAAGCCAGAGGAGGCTCCTTCCTCTACTTTCCACCCCACAATCACCTCTGTACCATGAGCCCAGAGTGAAGTAGCTGCAGTCAGAGCAGGGAATAAGTCAGGGGTTAGAAGAAATGCAAGGACGGTGTGGTAGGGGTGGGAGTCAGTCACACAACAGAAATATCCGGCAGGGCGCAGTGGCTCACGCCTGTAATCCCAGCACTTTGGGAGGCTGAGGAGGGCAGATCACCTGAGGTCAGGAGCTCAAGACCAGTCTGGCCAACGCAGTGAAACCCCGTCTCTACTAAAAATACAAAAATCAGCCGGGCGCAGTGGCAGGCACCTGTAATCCCAGCTACTCGAGAGGCTAAGGCAGGAGAATGGCTTGAACCCGGGAGACGGAGGTTGCAGTGAGCCGAGATCACACCATCGCACTCCAGCCTGAGGGACAAGAGCGAGATTTCGTCTCAAAAAAAAATAAAAATAAAAATAACTCATCCAACCACACTCTCAATCCATGTGCTTAAAGGATTAGCAGTGGGGCTAGGGGCAGGCAGACAACGGCCTCTTCTTCCATTGATTCGGATCCCCTGGAGATCCAGAAAGCAGCTGAATTTTAACATCCCAACTTGGATGCATCTTCCTTGTTTTTTTAATTCTTTGAGATCTACAAAACTTTATGTCTTCCTTCTGGGGAGAAAGGAAGACCCTAACATGGATAGTTCACTGTATCTTCCTTTCTTCCAACGCAACAAAATGACTAGAAGTGTTCGCAGGACACCCCTAAAACCTCCCCTTTTCCTTTTTTTTTTTTTTTTTTTTGAGACAGAATCTTGCTCTGTCTCCCAGGCTAGAGTGCAGTGGTGCAATCTCGGCTCATTGCAACCTCCACCTCCTGGGTTCAAGCGATTTTCATGCCTCAGTCTCCTAAGTAGCTGGGATTATAGACATGCACCACCATGCCCCGCCCTTTTTTGTTTTTGTTTTTGTTTTTTTGTATTTTTGGTAAGACAAGGTTTCGCCATGTTGGTTAGGCTGGTCTTGAACTCCTGGCCTCAAGTAATCCACCTGCCTCAGCCTCCCAAAGTGCTGGGATTATAGGCGTGAGCCACCGCACCAGGCCAAACCTCCACTTTTCAAGGAGTTGGGGATGTTAGTGTCCACCAGGGCCACCTGGGTCCTGAGCTGGGACATCAAGTCTCACCGCTGGCCCCACTGCTATTGAGGGAGTGGCAGGCTCCAGGGCCTCCCCAGGACAGCAGCAATTCTCTGTCTCCTCTTCCTTCCTACCACTCTTCAGACTCCTGCCGCGGCAAATGCATTCCCAACCAGAGGGATCTCAGAGGGACCAGAATCTCTGCCTACCCAGCTTGCCTCCCTACAGGACCCTTCATTGCGTACATGCACACACACGTGCACACAAACACATAATGCACACACACACACACACAGGCACACACATGCATAAATGCACACACATGCACACACGCACACACATGCACACAATCCAAGTCCCTCCCAGATTTGAAATAGTTCAAGACCGAATTGGAAGATTCCACAAAAATAGATAGTGGAGCAAATATGAATAACACCCTCCCAGAGGCATCTTTACACAGCAGTGTTCCCGGCTCACTCATCTATCACAGCATTGTTGCCACACTTGCCCTGTGAGTCTTCTGTCCTGTTAACATGTGTGAACGTCACGTGCCCTCAGAGCACCAAAAAAACAGGTGCAGACGAAATCAGGCCTATTATACCCTAATCCCTAAATCAAACAGGTTTTGAAGATGTTTCATGGGGTCACGGATACAAGTCCCATAATCATCTCTCTTCTGTTCCCAACACAGGTGATGGAGAGGAATGTGGACCCAGAAGGGACTCTGCTGACCTTCCTACGAAAGAACTGGACCCTTTTGTCAAAGTCCTGGCTGTGTCTGTGTTTGCCTTAACAGTTAGGCCAGCTGAGAATTATGAGGATGAATCAAATCTCTCCATTCAAATAGTCAGCCCCCTTGGCTCTTCCTCTCTATTTGCTTTTGGCCGTGGTTTTAAGGCTATTAGGTTAATCGGGCTGTTTTGGAGAGGATGAAGTTTCCCCGGAGTTTCCTGTATCAATAGTACAGTGAAATAGAAGCTAAGCTCTTTATTTCAGCACTAACAATTCCCTTACAGGCTTTCCGGAGCCCCACCAGGCTTGTTATGTAATAGAGGCTTGTGTTGCATTTGCCCTGCCCTTTTTTGAAACCAAATTCTCCAGATTCAGTGAGAACCTGTATCACAGGGAAAGATTTCCTTTCCCTACATGTGTTTTCTTACCCTAGCTTTTCCCTGCCATTTCATATTCTGGAATATAGATCCTCTTAATAGCAAACATATTTTAATTGGCAAATTAAAATATGGATCTTTCAGTTCTCTGAGAACAAAAAATAAACAAATGACAGAAATTACTAATTGATGAAATCGGCTTCTGGACAAGTTTTGTTTAAAAGCCCAAGGTTTTTAATTGGTTGTTGATGTTTAGAAATTGGAAAATTTCATATTTTTTAAAATCAAGATTTTTCAGCTTCTCTTGGAAAATGGGGAGATAGCCATCCCTGCATGGCAACATGCTTCTCCCTCTTTGTGAGAAAACAGGCAGGGAGAGGTTAATACGCCAAGTGTCAAACTAAGACCGGAAGGAAGTGAACGGCTTCTCAGACCTGCACTCACCCCGCCAAAAGACCTTCCTCAGAAGTGACCCCCTAGGGAGCAGCTATACTGAAAGCAAATGTTCTCCTTGGCATCTTTTCCTTGACTGCGCCCCTTCCAGTACGCCTCACAGGAACCAAGTACGCCTGTGGAAGAGGAGGCTGCGGCGCCTGCACCGTGATGGTGTCCAAGCATGACCCTGTGTCCAGGAAGATAAGGTATCCCAGCCCAGAAGCCAGGACAGTACTTTGTGTCTTGCTCGTGTTCTTAGCTCACAACTTTAAGAAAGGTTCTTAGATTCTTGCTGTGTACGGATCTTAGACTGCTCTAAATAATCCAATAAAAGCTGTGAGCCGTCTACTCAGATAACACATAAACTAACTACATTTTACACACCATTTCAGGGAGATCCCCCAAGGCCCATCTATGCACCCCAGGTTAAGAAACCCCAATGTAGGTCAGCCATTGATTTTACAGATGAAGAAACTGAGACTCAAAGAGATGAAGTGACTTGTTCAAAGTCATACAACTAGTAATCTATAGAACAAGGACTGGAACTCCACACTTTCTGGCTCTGAAGCTAATGCTTTTTCTTTCCCTTTTTTTGAGGTGGAGTCTCACTCTGTCATCCAGGCTGAAGTGCAGTGTTGCTATCTTGGCCCACTCTAACCTCTGCCTCCCAGGGTCAAGTGATCCTCCCACCTCAGCCTCCCAGTAGCTGGGCCCACAGGTGCCTGCCACCACATCCAGCTAATTTTTTGGCATTTTTGGTAGACATAGGGTTTCACCATATTGCCCAGGCTAGTCTCGAACTCCTGATCTCAAGCAATCTGCCTGCTCAGCTTCCCAAAGTGTTGGGATTACAGGCATGAGCCACCACCACCAGCAGCTAATGCCCTTTCTACAGTTGGGCTGGACCAGCACTACAAAGCAAGGACTTGGGCCAAGATTTCATCTCTTAAGGACCAGATTCTAGAAGTTGGGGTTCTCCCAAGTCCATTGGCCCAACAAATCAAGAGATGGCTTCAGAACACAGGTTATCCTACACTGTTGAATGACCTTATCCAGAGAGTTTTAAATTAGGAAGCAAAAAATTCCCAAATGTGTCCATATAGATAAAACCTTTTGCTTGTTATGAAGTCAATGCCCCAATGAATACTAATGAAGTCCAGCCACACTCCTAGTGACACAAGTTCATTCCCTTACTCCCGGGTGGGTCTGTTCTGGGCTTGGAAAGTGTTTCTGAAGTTCAGAATGCCCAGATTCACCTTAAGGATCCCTATTCCTACAGACAGCAGAGTCAGCAGAGAGGACTGTAAATTCTTCCTCCCCAGTTCCCCATCCCCTCAGCTCCATGATGGGATTTGGAGGTTTTCCACTGTTCTTCCTGGTGCCAGGCTTCCCCATGAGGCAGGACTGTGTTACTCCCCTTGACTCTCCTTGTGTTTCTTATACAAAGACACTTCTCTGTCACTGCATGCCTGATGCCCATCTGCTCTCTGTATGGAGCTGCTGTCACCACCGTGGAAGGTGTTGGAAGCATCAAAACCAGGCTTCACCCTGTACAGGTAAGAACACATCCTCATTTTCTCACTTCTTAACTTTATCTTTTTGCCAAATGCTGTGTTGGCTGTACTGCCTGAGGCTTCTAGGTTGTGATCAGATAAGCAGAAGCTTTGGATGCCTATTGACCACGGTAATAACATTTGTTAAGTGATTTAAAAGAAAACTGACAACTCCATCCACATTTGATTAATCATCTTTTTTTTTTTCACTTTTTCTGCTTGAATGAGAAGCGGAATTATTGAAGTATTGATTAATGGTCCGGAATAGGTACTATACAAAGAATATTACACATAGAATAAAATGTCTCTGAGGCTAACAGAATAAAATTTAGGATTATTTCCTGTGGTGCAGAGATCTTAGGAGTAAAATTAGAATTGGGGTAAGAGGAATCCAAAACTTCACCAGAATATGGCAACAATTGCTTCTCTGAATCTTAACCTGAAGCTGGAACAAAGAGGTTGGATTTAAGAGCAATGTGACATGTGTTGACAGAGAGCACAACGATTCCTCTGACATTGTCACAGAAGCTTGGGAGTCATAGGACCAGATTAACCAACACTGAGTCTTTCTAGACAGGGGGAGCCCAGAGGGCCTCTGGGTTTAACTACATGATCTCCTTGGAGAATGAACTCCAAAGAGATGGGCAAAGACAAACGATCCAGCAGAATGTACCAGAGTCTAGTAGGAGGGCAGAGAGGATGCTCACAGCAAGGTTGATAAACCCAAATCCTAGGATTACGTTACATTCTGCAATCTAGAGCAGGGCTTCCAGATTTAGATACAAACTTTAATGCGCCTAAGACTCACCCAGGAGCTTGTTAAAGATGCAGATTCTGAGTAAAGAGATTTGAAGCAGGAGCCTCAGGTTCCTCTTTTCCTGTAAGAGCCCAGGTGGAGTCAATACTGCTAGTCCATGGACGACACTTTAAATGGCAGCGACCCAGGACATGGACCAAAATCTCAGACCTTTGAAAGGAGAGCTCCCTTTGTGCCAACACAGAAGAATTTAAGGAAGAAAGCAAAGTGAGTTCAACAGTCTCCAAGTCAATCAGAAAGAGGTAGCCTCACAGAAATAAGTTGTGCAAGATGCAGAGGTAGTCAAGAAAACTATTTTTGAAACTCCCACACACTCAGTTTATACTTATTGATTTCCAGAGGATTCTTTGCGCTCTGATAGTGGCGGATGCGTGCTACTAATTCCCAATTAGAAGGATTTGAGCCCTTGACCTTGGAAAGTGATTATCATAGGACATTGCTTCTGAGCCACTTCCTCCAGGAGCAGCCTAGGGAAAGGAACACGGGCAGAGTCTGATCAAAGGGAAGGGTACCTTTGCTCAGGGAGTGGGTTCTACCATTGCCAGGGAACTGCAGGCTGTGCAGTGTGGTAAGAGTTGCTGGCAGCGAGAAGGCACGGCTGAAACCATTCATGTGTCTTTCCAGGAGCGGATCGCCAAGAGCCACGGCACCCAGTGTGGATTCTGCACCCCTGGGATGGTGATGTCCATGTACACACTGCTCAGGAACCACCCGCAGCCCTCGGAGGAGCAGCTCATGGAAGCCTTGGGAGGTAAGTCTAAACAGAGAAAACCCACCCCACCCCCACCGCCCCAACCAGGGGCCAAGTGGGAAGTGTGTTTCTGGATAGATCCAGAAACTGCTCCACACTACCCCCAATGTCATCCTAACCCCTCTCAGGCCTCTGCTTCAGTTGGTTCTAAAGTAGCTACAGCACCCAGGTGCAGAGAATGCCAAGCTGCTCCCTGCTTATCAGAGCATGTGCTTGGAATGGCCTGCACAGAACTAGCACAGTGTGCACACTCCACACCACCCACTTAACACCCCATTTTCTATCCAGTGACTTATTTGGCTTCCTTTGTTAAGGGCCTGTATTAGTTTCTCAGGGCTGCCCTAACTCAGTACCACAAACTGCTGAGCTTAAAATAGCAGAAATGGGCCGGGCGCAGTGACTCACGCCAGTAATTCCAGCACTTTGGGAGGCCAAGGAGGGCAGATCACCTGAGATCAGGAGTTCAAGACCAGCCTGGCCAACATGGTGAAACCCCGTCAGTCTGGCCAACACAGGGAAACAAAAATACGCCGGGCATGGTGATGCTTGCGTTAATCCCAGTTACTCAGGAAGCTGAGGCAGGAGGACCGCTCGAACCTGGAAACCTAGAACCTCTCTTTCACTCCCACCCCCTAGGCCTTCATCTTTGGAAACCTGAGGCTCTCAAATGTTATTACATGAAACAGCAATAGAACGGAAAGTTCATGCAGTAGAATTACCTGCAGACCTCTGGAATGCAGATTCCTGGGCCCACCCCTAAATGGTTGATTCAGGAGAATTGGAGCAGGGTTAGGAATCTGCATTTTTTTAAATGCCCCCAGGAGATTCTGATGTAATTATCTAGAAGCAACTGAGGAGCATCACTGACAAACCATCCAAGTCATGATGGTATATCAGGGCCTTAGAAACTGCCTAGGTTTTCTGTTTGAGGATCCCCGCTATCTTACCTAGTATCTGAAATATAGTTGTCAATAGCTCTACATCGAATTCATAAATTAATAGATGAAGCAAGTGAGCTCGCCAACTAGGCTATCATCTTTAAGACAAAGAATAAAACTGGAATTGAGGTAGTGGGCAGGATAATATTCCAAGTAGAGGAATAAAGCATTAAACCACTTGGCAGATGTTAAAATGCCCTTTTTAAAAATGTTGGGAACCGCGCTCACTGCTGCATGCCTGTTGCCCAAGCTACTCAGAAGGCTGAGGTAGGAGGAGACCAGAAGTTTGAATACAGCCTGGACAACATTGTGAGACCCGTTTAAAAAAAAAAAAAAAAAGCTAGATCTATTTAACTTTCAAAAGAAGCCAGTAAATACAAAGCCTACTAACAACCATGCTTCTTCTCTGATTGATTAGGTAATCTATGCCGCTGCACTGGGTATCGGCCAATACTTGAGAGTGGAAGGACTTTCTGCATGGTGAGTAGGTGACTGTGGGGATGCCTTATGCAGCAAGAATGACAATGACAGCTGATCAAGGCCAGGGACAGAGGAATTAAAATTTTTTAGACCATGTCAACAGACTATCAGGGAGACTTAGTGAGTTAGCTCCAACCAACTCAAAAAGTTTTAGCTTTTTGTTGAGGACTGGGGGAACATTGCGACACCTTTGATGTTGTCCAATCAAAACCACAGAGGGAAACCAAGTCATCCAACCAGCTGTCCAGACATTTTCTGTAACTAGTTCAGCAAGGCATCTGGACAGACAAGTCAGAGGGCCTCGGCAAACCCAAGGGGACAAAGGATGCAAGGGGGTGGAGTTTGCTTTGTTGAGGCAAGGTCAGTTCCAGAATCCAACCAGTTGAGAAGTTGTGAGCAGACAAGAAGCTGAATATGTGGAGTGGAACCCAAAATTCACTCCAAGTACAAGAGCACAGGGAGTTTCCTCTACAAAATGGGGATTCTTCACAAGGATCTCGAGAAAATCACATAAGTCTTGCTTGGCACTTAGTAAGAGTTCCACAAATAGTTACTGCTATTATTGAGGACGTCATTGACATGTGAATAGTGTTTGACAGGGAGACCAGACAGGCACATCTGGTGGTTCTGTGCTGAGGGCAGGATGAATGTGGGAAGTACAGCCCTTAGGCCCAAAAAAGGGGGACCCCATACTTTACAGGGCCCCTCTCTGGTCCTCCTCCAGCGATTTTCGGGAGTTCATGGCACCAAGATGACTTGCCCACCGGAAACCTCACCCCTGTTCTAGATCATTCTCCATGGATGGCCTTGACTCCACTGTTAGACCACACATAAGCCTCTTATCTGAGTCTGTCTAGTCAGCCTGGCAACAGCAGTGTCTGCACGCCTAGGTCAGAGGGTGGCCAAGGAGCAGCTGTTTGTGGAGGGAGTAGACTGAGCTTGGCTGTTCATGCTGCAGTGCTCAGGCCCCTCACAGCACAGAACAGAGCCAGGGTAGAGGAGAAGGCCTGCAGGCACCAGGCTGGGGGCCTTTGTTTGCACTCTTTGCTGAGGCTCCACAAATCGTAGAGGTGGGCCCAGAAGTAGACCAGGAGGTGTGTCCCATGTCCTAGAACCAGGCAGGTCACCTGTGCATGCATTTCCCAGATGTCTACTGCTACATGAGGGAGCCAAAGGTAACACGCTGAGAAGTAAATGAAATAGCTTGTAAGCCCAGCAAATGGCTGGTGCAGAGTGAAAAAGCACTTGTGAAATACAAACGAAAAAAGTTAAAGGAAGCATCTTTGCCTGTGGATACAGATGTTATTATCCCCTTTCCAAGCACACGGACTCTGGGGATAAAGGCAAAAATGTGGTCAGCCACCCCACCTGGTAGCCAGCATGTCTCACAGGACTTTAGTGGGTAAAGCAACCCAGTCTCAGAGGGAATACACAAGGCTAATATCAAATGGGCCAAGAGATGACTGGCTTTTTCCATTATTGGTTCACGGTGCACCGTGGAAGCTCTCAGAGCTTTGAGTAAGAGAAGTGCTGCTTGCTTGGCCCAGCTGTTTTTGCTTCTTGGATAAAATTGAAGAGATGGCAGCTCAAGACATTTAAGTAGAGACAAAGACCTGAAGTGTCTGGAAGAAAGTATCATGCTAGGAACTTAGGAGAACTTACTCAAGGAAGAAGATACAAGAGGTTAGTTTGGAAAAAATGGGAAGCGAAAGAGCGGGCAAATGGAAACCTGCTTTAAAACTAATTGTCAACTCATCCCCAGATAGCACCATCCACATCCCAAATGTCTGGGAGATCTGGTTTCTAAAATGGTTTTCTTTTTTCCTCTTATAAATTATCATTGCCCTACAAAGCATCTATCAATTAATTTTCCACTAGGAATTAACCTAAAAATTCATATATGTATACAAAGCTGTACGTGTAATGAATAAAAATGTTCATATACTATGTACTATACAAATGTACTAATACAATCCCAAATGTGAAAACATTATCAGTGGAATGGGGTAATGACAGTTTATTTCTTTTACATTTCTCTATATTCTATATTATCATTTTATATTATATATTTTGTATATTACCTATCAAATTATGTATCTTATATACTTTATATGTATTATTCTTTTTTTTTTTTTTTTTTTGAGGTGGAGTCTCGCTCTGTCGCCCAGGCTGGAGTGCAGTGGTGCGATCTCCGCTCACTGCAAGCTCCGTCCCCCAGGTTCACACCATTCTCCTGCCTCAGCCTCCCAAGTAGCTGGGACTACAGGCGCCCGCCACCACGCCTGGCTTATTTCTTGTATTTTTAGTAGAGACGGGGTTTCACCGTGTTAGCCAGGATGGTCTCCATCTCCTGACCTCGTGATCTGCCCGCCTCGGCCTCCCAAAGTGCTGGGATTACAGGCGTGAGCCACCGCGCCCTGCCCTTTATATGTATTATTCTTAAAAATAAGCAAAAAAGAAAGACCTTGTGATTATCAGTGTTCCAACAGAAACCACCCACAGTGGTTTAAAAAGTCTGAAGTCTCATTTAAATTGCCAACCTTTCAGGGCACATTCCCATTTACCTACTCAAAAGTTTTTCATCTAAGGCATTTCACCTTCTTAGGAGTCAAACAGCTGTCAACAGAAAGGAACGGGAAAATGCTGCTTGGATTGGGGAGAAAATGACTCTTCCCCACTTGGCAAGAAAAGTGAGGTGAGTCCTTTTGTTTGTTTTGTCCGCTCACTGTGAGTCTTGCTTAATGCCAACCCAGTGTTGAAACTGTGCTTGCTTGTTCTAATGGTCATTCTCTGCTTACAACTGTCCGAAGCACATGTGCAAATAAAGCTCTTTTTCTCTGGGAGTTGCGGAAAGTGGTGATCAAAGCCCACACTCCGATTTTCCCCTTCGTAGTCAGAAAGCCTGGGACAACAGGAAGACAAAAACACTCAGATCAGAAACAAAGCATTTCCCCCGACTCTGGATGGGCCACATTCTCAGGTGGAAGTGAATTCGGTACTTGCCCCTGCAGAGCTGTCTTCTGTCATGTCTCCTCCTTTGTAGACAGAGGGCGCTGCAGCCCCAGAAGGCTGAGGAGCCGTCCACAGTCACACACAAGTCAGTGGCCCCCCAGCCAGGAAGTCCAGCCTTAAAGATTCCAGTCTCTGGCTTTGCTGTCTGGGAGATGCTCGTTTCCAGGAAAAAACGGCACTGCCAAATTCTTAAAGATATTACTTAGAGAACTTGAAATACAGGATAAAATACAGAATCAGCTCCCAGTAAGCGAGGAAATCTGAGAGCATAGAGCTGACCATAGACAAACACGTGTGTTTCTATCCTTCACACGTATCTTTTTCCCATTCTTGGCTCCCACCGTCACCTTAATTGGGTCTGAAGAAAGTGTGCTGTGACACAGCGGAGTGCTGCCCAAGGGAGGGGGCTTCACCCCTCAGAGCCGCTTCACAGAGGATCAGTGCCTTGCTGGGGTCAATACATCCTAAAGTCAATTCTCAGTTTTGTGGTCTCGGGAATTTTATTTGGGCAATGACTGGGCTCTAGGGACTACCTGACTCACTTTAACCAAACTCAAAAGACCATGACATTTAAACTGGAATGAGCCCCATATTCATTTATGAAGAGAAACACAATTAGAAAGTGGATCTTGCCATCACGGAGTCACAGATCCTTTCCCTGTAGGAAAACACACCAGGAAGCCAAATTACAATGAGAAGGCTGCTTGGTGAGCATGGACACAAAGCAATTGCATAGCCTTAATGGGCAGCGTCAGAGAAGACCCTTCTCTTCCACCAGACTGGACCTGCGTGAGGCCAGGTGTCTGCCCAAGCGACTCCCCCTTCTCTTTAAGCGATGTTAAGATCTTCCACTTGGGTAGCCGTTAAGTCTTGGCCTGGGATCTGTTTAAGAAAACTTTTCATTTCTCAACGTTCATTTATTAATTTTTTATATTTTAATTTCCCAGCACAAACTTATTTCTAGGTGTTAGATATATACCACATTATTGCCCTCAGGCACTCTCTATACTTCTAATGCCAACTAACGCAAAAACAGATCATTCAGATGTGGCCCTGAAATGCCTAACCTCTGGCCCTACTAAGAACTTTATCAAGGAATAATTACAAGTGTTTTTATTTTTTTCTGGAGCCTGGGAAAACCTCAGAGAGATAGAAAAAGAGGGGAAGTGTTGGACAAATGTCAGGTCATTTTACCTATTATCACAATTACCCTTCAAAATATGGGTTATTTTCATTTAATCCTTAGAGAGGTTAAGGATTTTTCCATTGGAAAGGTTAGAGTGCTGACCTCCGAGTGAGTGAACCCTGATCTGTCTACCTTTCATGCCTGCATATTCTCTTCTCCAGCACACCCACATCCACCTCTGTGCTCCGCAGTTCTCTCTGTTTTCCTTACCTCTTCAGGAATGTTCTTCTGGCAAGAATGTTTTCCAAAGCTAAAACAGATCTGATCCAGACAGGATTACAGTTTGGGTAACTTTTCACTGTGCTTTGGTTTCCTACAGGGTAAAATGGAGATAATTTACTTTCTTTATACAATTATTGTGAAGATTAAATAAATTACATGTAAAAGCATTTGGAATGCAAGCACTTAATAAATGTTAACTATTGTTATTAAAGTCAAACTCTGTGTGTGTGTGTGTGTGTGTGTGTGCGCGCGCGCTTATGCATGGGCATGTGGGGCACAATGGAGAGGATTTCCCTAATTTATTTAACCTCTCATAGTTTTTCACAGACTGTCTTGGTGTTTTCCAGAATACTCTTTGTAGTATTTCATAGAATACTCTTTTCTTTAGTGTTGCATTAGTGGCAAATCAGTATTTCTCTTAAAATAAGATTCCTATTTTAAATTATTTGATTTGAACTATTTCCCTGTCCAGGGAGACTAGGAGAGTTATCACTACGTTCATGTTGCCTAATTCCTATAAAGAATTACAAGGCTGTTTCCAATGGAGCTGGGCTGACAGAGCCATCTGTTTCTTCCTTTTATAAAGATTTGCACGAAGTTATTTGCGAAAGAGGAGTTTCAATCCTTGGACCCAACCCAGGAGCTCATATTTCCCCCAGAACTCTTGGTAAGACAAGCTGGATATTTTATGTACTTGTTTAAATATCATTGGTTATAAACTCAGTTTTATAAAGCCTCCATTTTCCTTCCCATGAAATTGTCAAATTGTGAAAATGTTCGATAAGATGAAGATGCCTGCTTCCCTCCCCACCACTCCCTGCCTGACCCCTGGCACATTCCCTGAAGCCTCCGCTGCGGCTGTTTTGTAAATGATTTCTTCATTTCTCTCATCATGGAATGTGTCACTAGTGGCTGTCCAGGAGACACAGCACTGCTAAGCTTCTCCTTGGTCTTCTGGCCCATTCCAGCATACTGACCCCAAGGAACACTTCCAAGAGAGGCCCCTACCTTTCAGCCTTCCTCCCATCAGCATGTTTCTTTGCAGAAATGCAGCAGTCCTATTCTATCAAACACCGATTTCTGAAGGGGTTCTAATGTGTTTGTTTATTCATTCAACCAGTACTTATCCATCCAGCAACATGCCAGACACTGTTCTAGGTACTGAATATAGAACAGGGAACAAAACTAACAAAACACCTGCCCTCAAGGAGCTTGTAATCTGGTGAGAGAGGCAGACAATAAGCAAAATAGTAGATAAAAGATACAGTGTGGCCGGGTGCAGTGGCTCATACCTGTAATCCCAGCATTTTGGGAGACCAAGGCAGGCAGATGGTTTGAGCCCAAGAGTTAGAGACCAGCCAGACATGGCGAAACCCAGTCTCTACAAAAAATTAGCTAGCTGTGGTGGCACTCACCTGTCGTCCCAGCTACTTGGGAGGCTGAGGTGGAAAGATTGCTTGCGCCTGGGAGGTCAAGGCTGCTGCAGTGAGCCGAGATCGTGCCGCTGATCTCCATCCTGGGCAACAGAGTGAGGCCCTGTCCTCCCAAAAAATAATAAATAATTTTTGAAAGGATATAGTCTGTTAGAGATTGAGAAGTATTAAGGAGAAAAAAAATAAAGCAGAGAAAGATAGGATGCATGGAGTTGCAATTTTAGATATCCTGCCCAAAGAAAACTCTGAGAGGATAACATCTGAAGAAAGTCTGGAAGGAAGTGAGGGGGCCAGCCCTCCCAGCTGAAGAGGGAGACAAGCAATCCAGGCGGCTGGAACAGCCAATGCAAAGGCCCCAAGGGCAGGAGAACACCAGGCCTGATCAGAGGCAGAGCGTGGTCCAGCCTGGCTGGGGCAGAGTGAGCGAGGGGAAGGCCAGGGAGCTGTCAGGGGCAGACCGTGCTGGACTTCATGCTGCTCGGCTTTTACTCTGTGTGGGGTGAGAAACTAACAGGCTGGATAGAGGAGGGGCGTGCTCCAGTTGAAGTGGTAACAGGATCATTCTGGCTGCTGTTTTTGAGAATGGCCTGCAGAGGGGAAGGGAAGGAGCATGAACCTTGTCAGGGGACTAACGGCATCCTGAGAGATGGTGGTGGCTGCGCCAGTCTGCTCGGGTGGAAGGAGTGAGAAGCGAGTAGATTCAGGATGTGTTTTGGAAGAAAAGCCAGTAAGATTTGCTGGTGGATAAGCTGCGAGGGTGGAAGGGAGAGACGCTTGTCAAGGCTGACGCCAGGGTTTTGGACAGCTGGGAGCGTGGAATGGCCATTTACGGAGATGGGGAAGACCGCTGGAGGAACAGGGGGCTTTTCCTTCTGGGGGTTTCTCTTTGGGGGCTTGGAAGGGGATTGGATATGAGGAGCTCAGTTTTTGACATATTAATTTTTTATCTTTATAACTCTAAGCCAGTCCAAGAGACATATTAAATTTGAGATGTCTATTACACATCTAAGAGGTAACGTCAAGTACTCATTCAGACACGAACTTGGATTTCAGAGGAAAAAGCCAGGCTGAAGATATTAACTTAGGAGCACTAGTGTAATTACGATTTTTAAAGCCATAAGATTACATTATGCTAAATTAATCCACACTGAATGCTCAATAACAAGTGCCAGCTTATATTGTTACTTGTCCCCAAAAAGCCATCCAATTATAAAAATTCAGGCATTAGCCAATGGGTATAGTGAGTATATTTTTGGGCAAATGCACCCCAGAACCCCTGACATCTCTGTAGAGGAACACATCTCCACCTGAGACCTTGGATAAGCCAGGAGGACAGGCATGCACATGGGCACACATACTTGTCATCTGCCCTTAGAGGATGGCAGAGAATCCAGAAAAACGAACACTGACCTTCTATGGAGAGAGAGTTACCTGGATCTCTCCTGGGACCCTCAAGGATCTCCTGGAGCTGAAAGTGAAACACCCCGAGGCCCCTCTCGTTCTGGGCAACACCTCACTGGGTAAGTGATTACCCAGTATTCGTTCCACCCTTAATGCTGGGCTGAACTTTCTGTCCCTTACTCTGTTCTCAGTCTACAGAAACTACTTTTTAGGGATGAAAACTTCATCCTTTATAATAAAGCCAGTGCTCTCCAAAGTTGGATGTGCATATACCCTGGACCCCAGAGGTGTGGGAGGAAAGTTTTAGAGGGTTTTTTGTGGGGGTTTTTTGTTTGTTTGTTTTTTGTTTTTTTTTTCTTTTGAGATGGAGTTTCGCTCTTGTCACCTAGGCTGGAGTGCAATAGCGCAACCTTGGCTCACTGCAACCTCCGCCTCCCGAGTTCAAGCAAATCTCCTGCCTCAGCCTCCCAAGTAGCTGGGACTACAGGTGCCTGCCACCACACCCAGCTAATTTTTGTGTTTTTAGTAGACACGGGGTTTCACCATGTTGGCCAGGATGGTCTCGATCTCTTGACCTCATGATCTGCCCACTTTGGCCTCCCAAAGTGCTGGGATTACAAGTGTGAGCCACCGTGCCAGCCTTTTTTGCATTTTTAGTAGAGACAGGGTTTCATCATGTTGGCCAGGCTGGTCGCAAACTTCTGACCTCAGGTGATCCACCAGCCTCGCCTCCCAAAGTGCTGGGATTGCAAGCATGAGCCACCACGCCTGGCCTAGAGGGTTTTTTATCATTTACTTTGTCTTATTCTTTTTTGTTTTTGTTAAATATTGAATGAATATAGTAGAATTTTATAAAATATTTATAGGGATATTAACAATACAGTGCACACTCAGTTACCACCCACATCTACTTTAAGAACACAAACTTTACCAAGAACTTTGAAGACCCCTGTGGGCCTCTCAAGCCACATCCCCTTTCCTTCCCTTCCTCCTTGAAGGTATTCATTAGCCTGAATATTTTGTTGGTCATTCTCTTCCTTATTTTTATAGTTTTACCACATATATTTGAATCCTTAAACAATATGTTGTTTAGCTTTGCATATTTTTGAACTTCACATAAATGGACTGGAGGGAGAGTCCTGACCTCTGGTTGGAAGTCAGGTTACAAGGTCTCCCACTCCCAATAATAAGAAGAATCCCAGGGTATTATTCTTCTGAAATTCACTTTTTGTTCAACATACTTGACCTGAGATGCATCCATATTGTTGCACGTAGCTGTGCTGTATTCCATCATATGAACATGGAACAATTTGACATCCATTATACTGCTGGAGAACAGCTTGTTTTGGCATTACAAATATTCTTCTATATGTCTCCTGGTAACTATGTGCAGGAGTGTTTTTAAAAGCATCTTGGCCGGATGCGGTGGTTCACGCCTATAATCCCAGCACTTTGGGAGACCAAGACGGGTAGATCACCTGAGGTCAGGAATTTGAGACCAGCCTGACCAACATGGAGAAACCTCGTCTCTACTAAAAATACAAAATTATCCGGGTGCGGTGGCTCATGCCTGTAATCCCAGATACTTGGGAGGCTGAGGCAGGAGAATCGCTTGAGCCTGCAAGGCAGAGGTTGCAGTGAGCTGAGATCACACCATTACACTCCAGCCTGGGCAACAGAGCAAGACTCTGTCTCAGGAAAAAAAAAAAAAAGGCATCTTATCCTATTTCCTATTTTTATATGGACATAGTAAGTGCATAAATAAATACAAACATACATAAATTTACTTGGCAGGAGTATATAACCACTGCTTTCACATCTGTACACATTTCCTGTCAATCTCTAATGTATCTGAATCTCTTATAAGAAAATTTCAAGGCCTGGAGCAGTGGCTTATGCCTGTAATCCCAACACTTTGGGAGGCCGAGGTGGGCAGATCACCTGAGGTCAGGAGTTTGAGACCAGCCTGGCCAACACGGCAAAACCCCGCCTCCACTTTAAAAAAAGAAAATGTTAATGCACAAAAAAAAAAAGCATTTTCTCTTTCCTAATTGTCTCTAAAATAACTGTCCCTTTCCTAACTGTCTCTACGCCTCAGGACCTGCAATGAAATTTCAAGGACATTTTCATCCAGTTTTCCTCTCTCCTGCAAGGATCTCTGAGCTGAGTATGGTGACAAAAACAAGTGATGGTGAGTTCCTGGTGTTTTTAATAGGATGTCAATGAGGCGATCCCTGCACTAAACTAACACTTGCCAAATAACTCAGAACCTCCTCATCTGTTTGTCTTCTCCTGCATATTTAAAAAATGAAGAATAACTGGAATGAATTTAAATGCATCCCCACCATGAAACTTTACTGTCAAAATCTTTCCGGGGAATAGGAGTATCCAAATAATATCATGTAGGACCTTGCAGTTACCTGCCTATAAAATGCCATGATGCCCCAGACAATAAATTTGCACTGAGACTTTGATGGGACAATAGCAAGAGAGGGCAGATGCTGTCCATCAGTTGGATGATGGACACTCCCAATTCAGCACTCTTTTGTTTTGTTTTGTTTCTTGTTTTTTGTTTTTGAGACAGAGTCTCTCTCTGTTGCCCAGGCTGGGGTGCAGTGGCGCTATCTCGACTCACTGCAACCTCCACCTCCCGGGTTCACGCGACTCTCCTATCTCAGCCTTCTGAGCAGCTGGGATTACAGGCGCCTGCCACCACGCCCGGCTAATTTTTGTGTTTTTAGTAGACATGGGGTTTCACCATGTTGGCCAGGCCGGTCTCGGACTCCTGATCTCAGGAGATCCTCCTACCTCAACCTCCCAAAGTGCTGGGATTACAGGCGTGAGCCACCATGCCTGGCCAACACTCTTTTTGTTACTGCCATTACACCCCTCAGGTCCACCACACAGCCTGTCCAATTAGCTGTGTGAGTTGACTGCTCAGTTTGGTCTCTGCAGCCAAAGCAGAGCTAAAACAAACAATGCACCTTCCTTTAGGGCTCTTAAAATTAAAACATGAGTACCCTCTAGTGGCTTGCAGGAAAGTTTCTATGATTCTCGAACTTTTCCTAAGTCCCAGATGAGTGAAGGACACTGGCCGGGGTGGGGTGCACTGGAGCCAGATGTGTTCCCCACCAGCACACCCAGGAAATACATTGTTGCACAGCTGTAATTTTAACTTAAACATTTGTTTAAAGTTTGCATTCTCAACCATATCACCTACATGTTTGGCTCAGTATACATTTGATTTCTCAAAATCGTTAGTATCCAGAAAGTCATTGCATGTTCATCCCATAGACCCATGAACTCTGAAAAGCACGGAGTTCCACTGAAATGCCCTTTCTGAGAATCAAAGTTAAAACTCTTTCACTTGCATTGGAAGAAAGATAGATTTTGTGACCAGAGATGGAATAAAATACGAATAGAACCACAGTAAGTAGAATGTTCTCAGTATAGCCTGGCAGAAGGTGTGTTGTGCCTAGCACGAGTGAGGTGGTGATGTGTGCAATGGAAGTGGAATTATTTGGCTTCAAACTGTGTTTGAACTCTTATAAGAATTCAGGCAACAGAGCAGACAGGGACACTTCAGTCCCCACTGGGGTTGAGCTGCCCTTTTCCATCTATGTCAAATAACAGGTGGTGATGCTGGTCGATGTGATGCTTCTGACCTTAATAATAATTATGTCTTTTTGTTTCTGGTTTCTCCCCTACTAATGAGGCTCTGGGTCTTCTCCTGAGGGAGAAGGAATTATATGACCAAGAAAAAAAAAGCTTGGTTTTCCTAGCACTCCTGCAAAGAGAAGGCAGGCCAGGATGTTCCAGAAGTTAAAGAACAGGCTCCAGTGAAACCTGTGATAAGGAAGCAACAGACCATCACTGATGGGTATGGGATGAAATTCGATCCCCTGTTACAGAGTGCACTTTAGGAGACGCTAAAACAGGAACAGGGTGAGAACTCCAGGCTGAGACATTCCAGCGGGGAGGGATAGTTTAGATTTGTTTAGCATAAGGATAACAAGGAGCAGCTCATGGTTCCCTCATCAACTAAATTAGCTGAGATTACTGAGGCAGCGGGGTGTTGCATGAGTATGCTGGCAAGGTGGGGGAGGTGTCATGCCAAGTACATTCTTAATATTGATAAAATACAGCTATGTAGGAGGGTGAAATATTCTCAAAGATTAGTCAACAAGAGATAAATCACAGCCCAACCTGATAAAAACAGACTAACTGCAATTAGAACCAGCCCAGCTAGTAATGTCAAATCACTCTACATTAGCATTTCATTCTGCAAACCCCAGGGTGTGAAGGATTAATTTTTAAAGGCTGCCTAACTCATCTCCTGGGGGTTTGGGTGACTACTTCTCTTTTGAAGACTGATTTGAACCCTTTCATCCTTACTGAAGAAAAACCCTGAAGCTCATGCTAATATCCTGCCAATCCTCCAACTTATGGCTCCAAAGGTTTTTGAAATTTTGAATTATTTCCTTGCCAGTTAGCAAATAACATTACTTCAATCCTGCTAGATGCTCTCCCATTACTTCCCTGGACCCTTCCAGGGAAGTAATAGAGATGAGGGAGCCCCCAGCTTCCTCATGCCCAGTAATGCTCAACATAAATGGCTGGGGCAGCTCCTTACATGGGCCAATTGACCAGTGCCCCTCACAAAACTGGTTGTTGAAGATTTTGAGTATCGGGTGCAAAACCTGAAATCAAAGCATTATAGATTTTAGACAATGACCTGAGGAATTGAATGACCTTTGCCTTATTTTAATGCCATCCAATTTATCTCCCTTAATCACAAAGCAACTTTACAGAGCTTCACCACAATCAGTCAGGAGGAGATCATGGAAAATTCTAGTAAGGTTTGCCACCTGCGAGTTTTTGCTGTCATTCCTTCTCTCTAGCCTCTATTTCCTTGTGTCTATCAAAAGAAAAGTGTAGACCAGCCCAGGGGATCTCACTCTGGCTGTGTAAAAACACCTTGAAGCCTTTTAAAAAGCTGCAGGGATCCGGGCTGGGTGCAGTGGCTCACGCCTGTAATCTCAGCACTTTGGTAGGCCAAGGCAGGAAGATCACTTGAGGTCAGGAGTTCGACACCAGCCTGGCCAACATGGTGAAACACCGTCTCTGTTAAAAATACAAAAACAGACCAGGCGAGGTGGCTCACACCTGCAATCCCAGCACTTTGGGAGGCCAAGGTCGGGGGGCTCACCTGAGGTCGGAAGTTGGAGACCAGCCTGACCAATATGGAGAAACCCTGTCTCTACTAAAAATACAAAATTAGCCGGACATGGTGGTACATGCCTGTAATCCCAGCTACTCAGGAGGCTGAGGCAGGAAAATCGCTTGAACCTGGGAGGTGGAGGTTGCGGTCAGCCAAGATCACGCCATTGCACTCCAGCCTGGGCAACAAGGGCAAAACTCTGTCTCAAAAAAAAAAAAAAAAAAAAAATACAAACATTAGCCAGGAGTGGTGGCGCGCACCTGTAATCCCAGCTACTTGGGAGGCTGAGGTATGAGAATCACTTGAACCTGGGAGGTGAAGGTTGCAGTGAGCCAAGACTGCACCACTGCACTCCAGCCTGGGCAATAGAGTGAGACTCTGTCTCAAACAAAAAAAAAACAAAAGCAGAGATTCTAATTGAATTAATCTGGGAGTGGGGCATCTGTGCTGTTTTTGAGTTCCCAGCGATTCTCTGTGAGCCAATGTGGACACTCACTGCACTGGCCAAACACTGAGGTCCTGGTGCCATGATTATAATTCGGCTGCTCCTCTTATGTCACCAGTAAAAACAAGTTGCTTTCCAGGACTGACAATAGGTGCTGGCTGCAGCCTGGCCCAGATGCAGGACATCTTGGCTGAGAGGATAGCTGAGCTCCCAGAAGAGAAAACACAGACGTACCGAGCCCTCCTGAAGCACCTGAGGAGTCTGGCAGGCCAGCAGATCCGGAATATGGCAGTATGTTCCCTGATTTCAATCACTGGGCACACCGCACGTATTTCTGAACCTCACTGAAATGTTGGGATATGCATTGGCAGAATCAGTATGCAAAAAGGTCTCAGCAGATTGAAGCAACAGGCGCAGTATATGTTTAAAATTAATAAACATATTTAATAAATATATTTAAGAAAAAACTATAGGCTGGGAGCAGTGGCTCACGCCTCTAATCCCAGCACTTTGGGAGACCAAGGCGGGTGGATCTCTTGAGGTCGGGAGTTTGAGACCAGCCTGGCCAACATGGTGAAACCTGTGTCTACTAAAAATACAAAAAATAGCTGGGCATGGTGGTGCACGAATGTAATTCCAGCTACTCAAGATGCTGAGGTGGGAGGATTGCTTGAACCCAGGAGGTAGAGGTTGCAGTGAGGGAGATCATGGCACTGCACTCCAGTCTGGGCAATAGAGCAAGACTTTATCTAAAAAAAAAAAAAAAAGAAGAAGAAGAACTATAAGTCAAGCTCAAAAGAGTGGCTAAGCATCCACTAATCACAGGTGAGAAAAGGATGTTATGGTTTTGCTAGTTTCATGATAAGCTTGTCCATGAATTTAGTTTCGTCTTAGCCTGCATTAACAAAAGTAAGGTATCTAAAACAAGGAGGGTAGCCTTCTCTACTCTGGACTGTTCAAACCACAGCTGGAGAAAGATGGTCAGATCTGGGAGGCATATTGAAGATCTGGTTGATTTTGACCTCAAAAGAAAGGAAAAGAGACATAGTTAGGTTTTCAAAACACATATGCTCCTTCCCCTGCATACCCTCAATTGTATAGCAGAAATCTTTGGGATATGGAAAATCAGGGAGGGCATGATTCCTTTAAAACAGCTCTCAAGTGATTCTAAAATGTTCCCTCCCAAGTCAGGAACTCTGACGACGTACACTGGTGAGAAGGTGGCGGGAGAACGAGGGGTTGGAAACCACCCTAAAAAGAGGACTAGGGGTGGGAGAACAGGCAAAGGGAGCATGAGAGCTGCCTTGGACTATGTCTAGACTCCTGAGGTCCGATGTGTTATTAATATGAGCAGAGAGTAGAATAATAACCGACAGATGAGGGTCCAGGGAGCCAGATTTCAGCTCAAGAGGAACAAAAAAAAAAAAATGTAAAATGGAGCTGCTCATAAAGGAATGGGGATTTCCTGTCCTCACCTGTGTTCCAGCCCAGACCACTGCAACCGGGAGGTCACCATAGATTCCTTCTCTAGACTGGGAGGAGAATCTTGAGTTCAATGGCCAGTCATTTCCCTCCCAAGTTCTGAAATGCTACAGGCTCCATTAGATCTAAGTGAGGGCTCCCAAAAAAGAGTGAAAGGGCAATTCTCTGTCCAACTGTGTGGATGCCTCAGAACACTGACACAGCCCATGTGAAGTCTGGCCATTTCAGAAGCCCACGAGAGATGAGGCTGTGCACCAAGGCAAGATGGCACCTCTGTGGCCAACACCGTGGCCATCTTCACTGTGGCCAGGGCTGAGTGGGGTGGCTCAGAATAGGCCACTGAGCCTCCCTGCTTGAATCTGAATCCCAGGCCTGCTCCTTCCTAACTGGGCACATTGGTCAAGTTTCATAATTTATCTGTGCTTCAGTGTCTTCATCTGTAAAATAGAGATAACGACACCCACCTCACTGGGCTGTGTGTCAGGGGTTAGACAGCGCGTGGAACACACCGGTGTTAGGTAAGTGCTAGGCACCCTTGAGTCCTCTTCTCATCCAAAGAAGCCAGTGGGAGGGGCCCTCTGTGACAAGCTGAACCCACGCCCTCTGCAAAAGAGAGAAAGGCTGAACTGACTGAGATTCCTCTTGAACCTTTCATGGCCACTAAGAAGACCATTGGCAGGTGCCTTCCGGGTAGAGAAGCTGAGAGATAGAATGGCTGAGCTGTAACTCTCTCCTTAGTCCTTAGGGGGTCATGTGATAAGCCGGCATTGCTGTTCGGACCTGAATCCAGTTCTTGCTGTGAGCAACGCTACCCTCAATCTGATTTCAGCAGGTAAGCTGCCTCCGAATGCTCTGAACAGCACCCGGAGATCTTTTGTCTTTTTTATTTATTCTTTTACGGAATTGCTTTAAGTCAGAGCCCAAGTCTCTGGTTCTCAATTCACCATGGGGTGCCCAGCTCATGAGGGAAGGTGCACTGATCCAAAAGGCAGCTGGTGTTTCCTTCTGACACCACACACACACAACCTGGGACCACACTCAGGTAGCTCACATGTTCACCCATGTGTCTTGCTTGATCAGTAAACACCAGAGGTGACGTGCAGAGGCTAAGCTGAGAGCGAGGTTGCAGTGCGCACCCTCCCTATGGGCCAAGGGACTGCTCCCTGCTACCCCGTCCTCATCATGGGCTCCCTCCACCCACACACAGTCCGAGGCCCCCACACAGTGCCCTCAAAGTTGTCTCCCCGCCCCGCAGTTGCTGTGTAAGAAGCTACAAGGCTGGTGAGGACACACAGTGGACATCCACACAGGTCATGGTGGGCCCCTGGGAAGGGGTAGGCAGTGATGGATTTTAATTGCTAGCTGAGAGGAATGTTCCCTTGGGGTGGCTGCCCACTAAACCTCCCTTTCATCTCCCCAAGTGCCCAGCACACTCACACTGCCCCCAGCTGCCCCCCCTCTCCCCCGCCAGATACTAATACCCAGTTGACTGGATGCAACTACATGCCAGGCTGTGCTGGGGTGTTGGTCGTTACCATTGGCTGAAGGTCTGCCTTCCCAGCTCAGCTAGAGTCATCTCCACCCGGAGCACAGCCCCAGCTCCAGAGAAGGCGGTAGATCAGCTCGCTGGCCCAGCAGCAGGGAGGGGCCAGGCAGAGATCAACCGTGGGAGCCTCCTTCGGGGCACCCTGCCTCCTAACGAGCATACCTCCATTCCAGCCAGCACAGTGCTCACTGTGCCAGGGATCAAACGCATGTCACAGTCCCCAGGCCATGGTTTGACCTCCTCACTGCACTCCTGTGGGCCAGAGGGCACAGCTGTGGTCACCAAGAGGGGGTAACTGGGCTAGAAGGAGGTTTCAGAACTTTTCACTTCGTTTTTAAAGGTGTACGTGTCTGTCTCAAGAGCTGACAACAGCAGGAAGAACAAAAGGCGAAGTCAGTGGCTTGAACTGAATTGAATAGTTAAAAGGGAAAACAAACTGTGTGTTGGCTTCAAGTTGTTGCCTTAACAAGGGTTCGTAAGTGACCACAAGCTCTGAACAGGTTCTGTGTAGTTAACCACAGGCCCAGTGAGCCTTCCAGGCAGAAGAGACCCCAGTTCACATAGCACATATGCTGATGAGAGAATAGTAATGTCACGACGGTGCCACCGCCTGGGACCCCATGATGGGACCCTGTGACTTTGCCGTGGACTCAGACCTCAGCCTTGCTCTCTGTAGAGGAAGCTGGCCTTTCCTTCTCCACTGCTGACATTTAAAAGAATAGAATAATCTTGCTCTCCTTGTTGTGACTGTGCAGAAACATCATTCTCTTCCACAGAAGGTACGCGGCAGATTCCTCTAAATGAACATTTTCTTGCTGGGTTGGCAAGTGCAGACCTTAAGCCGGAGGAAATTTTGGAATCTGTGCATATCCCGCACTCTCAAAAGGTCAGAATTCCGCTGGTTGCTTTTGAGGGTGGTTTTTCCTTTTTCATAACTGAGTCCAGTCATCTTTAGAAATCTAAAAACAGATGGAAAGAAAATAACTCTGCCCTGCAAACCTGTTTCCTGTCCAACTGCGGATTGGGCCAGCACCAAGGCCCTCCGACAGCCAAGAGCAGGCAGCTCCGGGTGTGGATGTGGGGCTGTTGCTCTAGCTGCAGGGCGGAGCCTGCTGGGGGCCTGTGGTCACACCACCACGCCCCTCATGGCCACCAGTTCAAGCTCTCGGGCTGTGGAATGGAGCATCTCTAACTGACCCACAGCGAGATGGGGGTTAGGGCTCGCTGTCCCACACCCCACTCTAGCCAATAGTTCATGGGCGCAGGAGGGCCTCTAGATGTTTGCTAACTCAGAATCCCTGCGGCTGATGTGGCCACCCAGCCAGCTATGGAGTTGACCTTCTGTCCTCACTGCCTGCTCCCTGTGCCTCTGCCAAAGCTGTACCTGAAACCAAGAGGATAGTCTTCCCAGAGAGAGGCAATGCAACACACACCCACACACACCCTAGCTCAGCCCCTGAAGTCCTGGAGAGGAGCAGCCAAGACTCTGGGGCACCAGGATGATGAGGATGGCCCACTCCCCATCTGGGGCCTTCTGCTACAGTAGCAGTAGTGTTCTTCTACAGGAGCATTGGTCGTTACCATTGGCTGAAGGTCTCTGCTTTCCCAGCTCAGCCAGGGCCATCTCCACCTGGAGCACAGCCCGGCTCCAGCCAGGGCAATAGACCAGCTCGCCAGCCCAGCAGCAGGGAGGGACCAGGCAGAGATCAATAGTGGGGGGCTCCTTTGGGGCACCCCTGCCTCCAACAACCATGCCTACATTCCAACCAGCACAGCTCTGACTGTGCCAGGTGTCTTGTTAGATTGTGTCTGTGTGATTAATTAGTAGCTCCAAAAGCCGGGGGGCAGCCTGGTTATGGAGGGAGTCATAAGTTATGCTTTCAGCCATGTGTGATCTGCATTAGTTTTTCCTTTGGAATGGAAACTTCAAAATGTGTTCCCATTTAAATTCATGAAAAGGCAGCAGACGGAAAAATAAGCCCACTCAAACATGTGCACCCTTGGTGGCAGCACAGACGGAAATGCACAAAGGGGCACAGGCCATCTTCGTGGACCCCACCTCGGCTCACCAAAGGTCATGGCGCCAAGGGGTCAGCTGGGGCAGCCATCACCTCTTGACTCTTCCTCCTGACACAAGATTCCCTAGCCACTGTTGGAAAGCTTTGCTCGGCTCCCTTTTGTGCTTTCCAAGTGGAAAAGTGAACATTTCTACAAGCCAAGCAATGTGGTGGGTCTCCTTTGTACTTTTAGCAAATCACCTTTAAAAGCCCCTGCATTCGGAGGGCTCCTCCACCCTCTTGGGGAAAAGGCATCTGAAAACTGGAGGGAATGGCCCCTCGCAATGCCAGCACATGGATGGGTGTCCAGGAGTAAGTTCCCTCAGCATCCCGTGCAAAGGCATCCTGGCCTCTGAGGGAGAGTGTGCGGTGATCCCTGTTCCTTGAGGGTGTCCAAGGCCTTGAGAATGGGACTTGGGGAGGACGCTATTCTCGCTTTGAACGAGAAGGCAGCCAAGGTGTCCTCGAATTGTGCCAACTGTCTTTGGTGTCTTGTTAGATTGTGTCTAAGTGATTAATTAGTGGCAACAAGACGCGTAAACCACGTTCTTAGTTTTGACATATCAGATAACCCCAAATGGTTTTTGTCTCCACAGTGGGAATTTGTGTCCGCCTTCCGACAGGCTCAGTGCCAGCAGAACGCCTTGCCCCACGTGAATGCCGGCATGCGAGTCCTTCTCAAAGAAGGCACAGACAGCATTGAGGACCTGAGCATCGCCTATGGAGGGGTGGGGGCTGCCACCATCAGTGCACACAGATCCTGCCAGCAGCTCCTCGGGAGGTAAGCCAAGAGCCCGCACCCTGAGGGGGAAGCTTGCTGTTAAATAAAACAAGTGGAGATCTGTCTCTGGCAAGCATCAGTAAAGCCCTGGGAAGATGGAAACTCTTACATGAAAATCACTGCTTGTTCTTTCTGTCATTTTACTGAATGAATTAAACCTTATTTGACTTTGATTAATTGGATGCCACTCTTTGGATGAGGTATACAACAAAAATGACCTGGGCTGAATTCAGCCAGCAGGTGATTTTTTCCCATCTGCGCCCATTCTCTTATACAGATCAACAGCCTAGCCGTCCTGGTGCCATAGATCATGCCTATAATCCCAGCAATGTGGGAGGGCAAGGCAGGAGGATTGCTTGAGCTTAGGAGTTCAAAACTAGCCAGGGCAACAAAACGAGACCCCATCTCTACTATATATATGTATTTTTTTTTTAATTAGCTGGGCATGGTGGCATGCACCTGTAGTCCCAACTCCTCAGAAGGCTGAGACAAGAGGATCACTTGAGCCCTGGAGGTTGAGGCTGCAGTGAGTAGCAATCATGCCACTACACTCCAACCTAGGTGACAGAGCAAGACCGTGTTTCAAAAAAAAAAAAAAAAGTCTAGCAAACCCACACTGGGCAGCGTCCAAGCAGCACCTAAGGCTCCCACCATTACACGCACTTTCTTCCTCAGCGAAGTCAGTCTCCAAGTCTGAGTCCTGTTCAGTTCACAATGGAATTGGCCCTAGTGGTCTGTTTTGTTGTTGTTTTTGAGATGAAGTCTCACTCTGGCACCCAGGCTAGAGTGCAGTCGTGCAATCTCAGCTTCACTGCAACCTCCGCCTCCTGGATTCAAGTGATTTTCATGCTCAGCCTCCCGAGTAGCTGGAATTACAGGTGTGCACCACCACACCCAGCTAATCTTTGTGTTTTTAGTAGAGATGGGGTTTCACCATGTTGCCCAGTCTGGTCCCAAACTACTGGGCTCAAACAATCCAGCCACCTCGGCCTCCCAAAGTGCTGGGATTCCAGGCATGAGCCTTCATGCCCAGCCTGCTCTGCTTATTTAATACTTGGTTCTAGCATGTCTGGCTCTGGAACGTGCTCATGTTCAAGTTGCAATGGAAGAGGTCCCATTCTCACCCTGCCATGACCCTTGGGCCACTCGATGCAGCCTCCTCAGGCCTTGGTTTCCCTAAGCAGCTTGATTAGGTGATTTCCGAGTTTCCAGAGGTAACTCTGGGGTCTCTAAAAGGTCACTATCCCACATCACGCCATGCTAGAAACTGCCCTCTAACCAATTCCTTCCTGCCTCCGACCCTCCTAGGCGCTGGAATGAGTTGATGCTGGATGAGGCTTGCAGGCTGCTTCTGGATGAAGTCTCGCTCCCAGGCTCAGCCCCAGGTGGCCGGGTGGAATTCAAGAGGACCCTAGTCGTCAGCTTCCTCTTCAAATTCTACCTAGAGGTTCTGCAGGAACTGAAGAAGCTGGTGAAGCTATTCTGTGTGCCTGTGGGTGCTCTGGTGTATTCGCTGGCTGGGGCTGCTGAAACAAAGTAGCACAGCCTGCCTGGCCTGAGCAATAGAAACATGTTCCCTCACAGTTCTGGAGGCTGGAAGTCCTCAACCAAGGCGTCAGCAGGCCTGGCTCCCTCTGAGGGCTGTGCAGGGGACTCTGCCCCTGCCTCTCCTCTAGCTCCTCCTGGTTTGCTGGCAATGTTGGGCACTCCTTGGCTTCTAGAAGCATTACCCTGATCTCTGTCTTCACATGAAGTTCTCCTGTGGGTACCTCTGTGTCCAAATTTCCCCTTCCACAAGGACATCAGTCATATGGGATTAGGGCCCATCTTAAGTACCTCATTTTAACTTGATTACCTTTGCAGTAAAGGCCTTGCCTTATTTGGATAAGGCCACATTCTGAAGAACTGGGACTGGAGTGCTGGGAATTCAACACAGATATTTAGAACAGACACAGTTTGACCCATAGCATCTGGCTCTTATGTGTTCCTTGCACCCATAAGCTCACAGCTTTCCCATCACTTTGGCAAACTGTCTTGTGCACAGCCTGTGCCGTTACCTGTCACCTGCACTGAGTCAGGCCTTGTCAGCTCCCAGCCGGCCCTCCTCCTGGGATCCAGCCCTGAGGGGCTACATGAGGCTCATGATGCCAGACTCTCTGCAGTCCGCAAATGTTGACTGTGTGCCCTGAACACTGAAACACTGTGATGTCCCTGCTGCCAGTGTGCAGCTTTTTTCTTTTAAAATCAACTTCATTGACGTGTAATTTACACATCATAAAATGCACCTATTTAAATTCAGCGCATGTTGACAAATGTTTATATCTCCGTAGCTACCACTTCAAATTTTCCAATATCCCAAAAAGTATCCTATGTCCCCTTGTGTCACCATCTTGCCCCTGACCCAGGCAACCACTAATCACTTTGCTGGCACTAGAGATTCATTTTGCCTCTTCTATAATTTTATTATCAACCTAAAACATAAAATAAAATTTTATTTTTCAAAACAACCAAAACTGCCCAGGCATGGTGGCTCACACCTGTAATCCCAGCACTTTGGGAGGCCAAGGCAGGCTTGGGCACAGTAGTTAGAGACCCGTCTGGGCAACCTGGGGAAACCCCATCTTTACAAGAAATGGAAAAATTAGCTGGCCATGGTGGCACATATCTGTAGACTCAGCTACTTGGAGGCTGAGTTGGAAGGAACTCTTGAGCCTGGGAGGTCAAGCCTACAGTGAGCCGTGTTTGTACCACTGCACTCTAGCCTGGGCAACAGAGCAAGAGCCTGTACAAAAAAAAAAAAAAAAAAAAAAAAAAAAAAAAAAAAAAA